GACGGCATGGTGGGCGACGACCCCTACAACCCCTACAAATACTCCGACGACAACCCGTATTACAACTACTACGACACGTACGAGAGGCCACGGCCTGGGGGCAGGTACCGGCCGGGATATGGCACTGGCTACTTCCAATACGGTAAGAGCCCCCAAGATCCCTGGATGCACCCTGTCCCTAAGCCTGAGGCTCCCCGACGTGGCTATCTGGGCGCGGCGTGCCCTGGATGCGACCCCTCCCCCTGCGCCTGCCGCCGCAGCCCTGGAATCTGGTGGAAACCGCGCGCGTCTGGCTCCTCCGGTTCCCTTTCCATTGGACTCTGCAGCGCCAGGCGTCCCCTGTTTCCCCGTTTCCGAAACCTTGTCCCGCAGTCCTAGTGGGCAAGGGGTGAGGGGTGAGGGGTGAGGAGTCGGAGTGGGGAGCGCAGTTCTCTCACTCCTGTACTGGTCTCTACCGACGTCTAGGTCTCCCGGACCTGGTGCCTGACCCCTACTACATCCAGGCGTCCACGTACGTGCAGAAGTTGTCCATGTACAATCTGAGATGCGCCGCGGAAGAAAACTGCCTGGCCAGGTAGGGAGTGCAGTTTTGGTTGGTTGCAATGCCCACCGTTCGGCTCAGGTAAGGGCTGGGAAAGGGACTGGAGAGGAAGGTGGTACTTGACCTCCTGCGCAAGCGGATCTGGATGGAAAGATATGTTGAAGATGTATGTTGGCTCTGCCTCTCAAACTGTGGCACAAATCAGGGGCACGGAGAAAACCTTTATCTTAGAAACTGAAAGCCTTGCGCTCGTTTTCAGGGTTCTGATTTCCAAGATCTTAAAATTTGGAGCCAATTATGTCCTATAACGTTCTATAAAACAACTGTACAGTAAGGTGGGAGACAGAATCACTGTAAAGGAAGATCTTGCTAATACTCAGTCGATTAGAGGCAAATCTGCTGCTGGGGCACCCCTCGTTGGCAAAGGTTTCCTCTTTTGTTTGAGGCAACCATTAACTTGGAATTAACTCAGCCAAACAAGACCATGAGCAAGAGCTTTGTTTTTCCAACAGCCCTAAAACAAAACGTAGCAATTCTGAGAACGACTTTGCTGCTGGGAAACCAGCAGAGGGAGCTGTATTGATAGGTGCCATGAAGTTTGTTTTTTAAGTTTTTGTAAAATAAGGTCATAAAGAGTACTGGAGCATATATTCACAAATAGGTATGTTAGAAGGAATGCAGGGATGTTTCTTTGTGTACTTCTCCCACGTGGGCTTTTTATAACTGGCAGTCTGAAGGAAGAGAATACAGTCAAGTTCCTGATTTTCATTGCCAAGTGTTGCATTACTCACTCACAGCACTGCGCTTCTAATATCAGTGCTTGTTTTTGAAGATAAAAATTGCCTAATTCTGGGTATTTTTACAGTTTTTCCCCACTTCACCCTTAGGTAATTGTCTGTGGATAAATAAGTCATAAAATCGAAGGTCCTTAGGCGCAAACACAGGCACAATTGTGAGAATGGTGGCACAGGACAGGGTGGAGTTTCATTCTTCTGCACGTAAAGCTGCTGTGTGGAAGAACCCAGTCAATGGCACTGAAGAACTACTTCAAGAATGAGTCACAAACAAACCAAATCTTCCACAGTTGAGTGGATTCTGACCTATAGCAACCTTCTAAAGGGCTTCAGAGATTATAACTCTTCACTAGAGCAGACAGCCTCATCTGAGTGGTGGGTTTGAACTGCTTTTTGTTCAGTAGCCCAACACCTAATCCCCAGCACCAACAAGACTTCTTACATGTTGGGATGCTAACCACAAGATCAGCCCTTCAAAGCACCAGCCTCTTCTTGAGTGAAAGACGAGGCTCTCAAAAGACTTCAAAAATTACAGCCTCTGAAACCCACAGGGACAGCTCTACCCTGTCCTATAGTCAGAATTGATTCCATGGTAGTGAGTTTGGATTTTGGTTTGGTATCTATGGGTTGTTTATTTTATTCTTTCAGATTATTAAACTTGAATTGATTTTAAATACAGAGGCTTACTCATCACATGTAAAATTTTAGTATTCATTGTGTTATGTTTTTCACTTTTAAGCTCTGGGGGGATTCCCATACTTGTTCATTTATATAAATCATAAATATATTCATTGACTTCTGATTTTCCAGTCACTGTTCTAGGATCTGTGGGATCCACACTAAACAAAATAACATGCCAAGCCCATTGGAAGTGATAGTCGACTTGTGTTGCCACGCTAATATTATGATGAGGTAATTTTTATAGCTTTGTCTTTAGTGAATGGTATGTGAATATCATTTTTCTTCTTTTTAAATTGCAGTTCAGCCTATCGGGCAGATGTCAGAGATTATGATCACAGGGTGCTGCTAAGGTTTCCCCAAAGAGTGAAAAACCAAGGGACATCGGATTTCTTGCCAAGCCGACCACGTTATTCCTGGGAATGGCACAGCTGTCACCAGTAAGTGGACGAGGGCCCTGCCACGTTTGAGTTGCTTTTTCACTTTTGAGATGGTTCTAGGTGTGACAAATGGAAATGGTATTATTCAAACCAACCCAAGTGTGGTTATTTCCATTAAGAATTCTCTAGTCAAGAGAGTTTAACATTAAGATACTCCCATTTACTACTAGATCTTGCTATCTTTTGACTAGAAACTCTCAAAGTCCAGTTTATTGACTGCTGATAGGTACAACATTTGGCAATAATAGACTTTTACCCCAAGTGCTTACAATTAGGATTTCTAAAAAGTGCTAGTACCGCCAAGATCGTCAAGGGGGTCAAAGCAACCCACTGCCATGCAGTTGATTCTAACGCCTGCCAATTCTGTCAGAAATCTTTGCAGGAAGAAAGATTTCTCTTATGAATCACTTGGTGGATTTGAACTGCCAACCTTTCAATTAGCCCAATGCTTAACCAACTGCATCATCAGGGTTCATTTTCCATTTATTAGAAAAGTTACAAACACTGGGAGGGAAGAAAAGCTAGCCCAGATAAGTCTTTAAAAAGAAGTTGAATTGATCTCAATTTTACTATGAAAACAAATTTGTGAGCCAGCAGAGATGCTAATATCCTCACCACTTGGTGTGAGTGGGACTGATCTTGGCCTCTGTGTTGTGTGGGCCCTTAGGCATTACCACAGCATGGATGAATTCAGCCACTACGACCTGCTTGATGCCAGCACCCAGAGGAGAGTGGCTGAAGGCCACAAAGCGAGCTTCTGTCTGGAGGACACCTCCTGTGACTATGGCTACCACAGGCGATTTGCCTGCACTGCACACACGCAGGTAAGTTTAAATCTCAACAACAACAGCAAACTAGACTCATTGAGTCTAGTCACACCAACTCCTAATGAGCCTATAAGGTAAGAGTTTCCCAGACTGTAAGTGTTAGTGGGGAACGAGACCCTGTCTGTCTCCTTAGGAGCGGCTGGTGGATTCAGACTGCTGATCTTGTGATTAGCACCCCAACCCATAACCACTGTGCTACCAGGGCTCCTCCTGTGGAAACCAGGAGCCCACACACCGCCCAGAGAAAACCAAGCGACCAACTGCACTCTTTCTTCCCACTTCTCTCATAGCTGTCTCCGTTAAGGGATCATGTAGTCAAGGTAAAAAATACTTGAGAAAAGGAAATGGATGGATGGACTCTTAAAGCACTTCCATTTACACATGTAGCCCTTACATGATGATGGGTCAATGTGCACATTCTTTGTCTTCTGTGATTTTTTTAAAAAGCAACAGTTTACTCCCCGAATATTGACAGTTGATAACACCTGTCCTCATCCTGTATTCTTTAAGCCGCTTGTTGTGTCACTGTAGACAAGGTACCGTTAGTTTCAAACCTGGACAACCAGTCTTCCCTCTACTTACCAAACTAAAACTTGGATGGTGATTAGGGCTAGCAAAAGGAGACGGATAAATAGAACTTACTCTCTCTTATAAAGCATGGTTTAAAAACAGTATCTTTTAATAACATAAATGTGAACAGAGGATACAATTTCTTTGTCCACACATACATATTTAAACCTACAGTATAATTGCTGTCAGATGTCACTTGGATGGAGTTTTTCAAGTAGAGCTGAACTAAGCAGTTTGTAGGTTTTATAATTGGACAATGTGTGCCAGTTAAAAGCCATGTCAGTATTTCCATAAGAAGCTCTAATTTGTGTACGGACATTATAATTTCAGTCCAGCCCAAATGTTGGCAAGGAGCCGTGAACGTACATAACTCAGGCACAAAAGGACCAGCAGCTGTGATCTTGGGAAACCAATGCTCCAGGCTGTGGCAGGAAGCGCCTTGGTGACCTGCATGCTATTGCTTCTGTCTGTGAACTTAGAACATCATAGCAGTTGTCAGGGAAAGGAAGGATGTCCACATGCTGTTGGGCAACACTTACCTTTAAAGCATAAAGAGTCGTGGACGTTTCTCTATAATCACACACACGTGTCCACTCAGTGATCTCCAAGACCCACAGCACCTAAGCTTACAGGAAGACTTGGAGTTCATTCTTCCCGTTCAGAAACCAAACCAAACCTAACAAAACATCTCTAAGTAGCTCCTTCTGAGTTGAACTATTTGAACCTGGGAGGGTGGGTACTTATAGGGTTTCCTTTTCTCCTGTTCCTTGGAGCCCCTCACTTTATTTTATATGGTAGCATTCTTGCTAGCTTGTCATCTGTCTATGTCTTAATTCCCTTTTTTTCACTAGGACCTACATAGTAATTTACATATTTATCTTTCTTTTTTCATTAGACCAGTGTCCCCTAAAGATGGGCTTCCTTATAAGAGAAAAAAAAAATCCTCACAAGACCCCAGTGTGAACTTAAATTCGTTTTATTAGAACGTTGCTTAAAGGCATTCAGGAGGCTCCGTTAGCTACTAACGGAATGTTCCCTGGTTCAGATTCCCCCCCAGTAGTCTTGGAAAGGTGTGGCAATCTCCTTCCAAATGGAGACCCTGTCGGACACAGTTCTACCCTGAAACACAGAGGGTTGCCATGAGGTGGAATTAACTAGGCAGCATTGATTTCATTGTTTGTTTAAATCTATTAAAACATAAAATGAGGCACTTAACGTCATTATATGTATACTTTTTTGTAACTCTTAACTTCTTATGTAACAAACTGTTGTGATAAATGTATACAAACCTAGAAGCAGTCAAACTGACCTTCTCAATTTAATCCAATTAACTGAGATATTTTCTAAAACCAAATAGCTAATTTAGAAAGTTCCACATTCTACAAAGGGATTCAAAAAGCTTGTGGAAAATGGAATGAAAAGAGCATGGTATTTTCTCACTAACTTTTGAAGTCCCATCTTGATGCTTATAATAACAATACATGAAATGCTTGCTTTAATAGCTCGTTTCTTTCTTTGCCCGTTCAGCTCATTAAAGCTCATACTTAACATAAACTCTTAGTAGCTAAACAATCTTAGAATTTTAGGTTTAGCATTATATAATGCTCTTTTGGTCACATGAATAAAAATATTATAGCATTGTATAAACCAGTCTTAAATAGTTACCTCATTCACTGAGTCTCTTACAATGTCAGGAAGGCAAAAATAATGATTATGATGATGATAATAACTAATACTTCTTGAGTATGTACTGTGTTTGAATCAAAATTATGTGCTAGAGTCAGAAGTCCCAAATTCTTTATTATGTATTTTACGACTAAGCATACTGCTAATGGATGATTGCTAGTTGGTATAGACCAGTGGTTCTCAACCTTCCTAATGCCACAACCCTTTTAATATAGTTCCTCATGTTGTGATGACCCCC